GGTCAATCCAGGTCAGCAGAGACTTTAAAGTGGCTTGTATGGGGGATGAGGGTGTGGAGGAGTCACAAAATAAAAGTGTGCATTGTGGTTCTAGCTAGAGCTGGGCAATATGGCCAAATTGTTATCACGATAAAAAAAATAAATTCCTCATTCGACATCCATAATTAGCAGGATAAATGTCAAATCATTATGTCTTTCTAGTTTAAAGGCTGATTTTTGCTCCTGAGTGAAAGTTGAAGAAACCAGATCATTAATTGTGGCTTCAAACTTGTGCTTAACAGTGAACCAGCGTCCGGTTCAACAGTAGTTTAGCCGACTTCATTGACATTCAGCACCGGAGCTGAGAGCGTCGCAGCAGAGAACAGAAAAAAGTCCTGCTGGTCTCGGATTGCAAAGTTCACAGCCTGCCATGTTGTTGCTCCTGCTCTGTGTACACTGAGACAGACAAGAAATGAGCAAAATGAGCATTGACTCTGGTCTTCTCAACTGATGACTCGTCATTTTCATCATCATTATTATTATTATTATACATTAGTCAGTAGTGAGTGATTTACTGTCTACACTAAATGTGCTTTAAGAGCTGGGGACTTACAACAACCTGCGCAAGTACGGCAGCCCCCTGCGTGCTTATTATTTGCTGGGTATAGACAAATTGTCGTGAAAATCTTTTTAAAGTTCATTGAACCACTTAAGCCAAATGTAGTGTGTGTAGGCATTTGGTCATTTCAGTCAGAAAAGTCCTTTGGTCATAGATTGAGCCTATAACAATAAGTATTTCCCAGCCTTCACTAACAGACCTTCAACCACTGTTAATTTGCCTATGTCATATGAAACCAGGCTTCGAACTGTTTACCTGATGTGAGATCCCAAATAGCCACAGTCGTCTCTCTGCACTGGACAGAGAAATCAAATCAACGAGCACAGAAGGCAAATCTAATTGGACACATTTGACAGCCACTGTAATACCAGCAGTGAACTGTCTCAGCCGGATCTTGACAAATTAGAAACAAAATGCAAGGACCAGCGTGAGTCAGCTCTGTGACCGGAAAGGATCTCTGTTCTTGTCATCGTGACATGTTGGCCCTCCTCCTCTTCATGCAGCTTTGTTGAGCTGACAGAGTTGGCTGTGGACCATGGAGCATGTCTGTTTAAAGCCAGCGTCCCGCAGTCTGAACCGCGGCAGGCCAGTGAGAGACTGGATGTTTCACGGCCCATTCCACAGCACATGCTTTTCCCATGATGCCCATAATGAGTCAGCCTGGCTTTGTTTCAACAGCTACCAAGACATTTGGGCAGAAATCTGGGGAAAGAAAGAGAGCAGGGAAAGGCTGCCCTGGACTTTTCAGCTGTTAGAGAGAGAGTGTGTATGTGTACTTTAATAAGACAAAATATGGGCCATCTCTGTCAAGCAAGCGTTTTTAAGGTGAAGGTAAGAAGCTTAGGATACAGCTTAAGTTTTTACTGAATTAATGTAGCCATCACAAGATGCCCACGTTGAGGGTGTGTGTGTGTGTGTGTGTACATTGTACTGAAAATATGTTAATTTGCAGTAGAAAATAAGTTCCAAAGCATCTGTTCCTTTTTAAAGTGTACAGGAGCTCTCAGATATCTGGCTCTCTTTTGCAACGACGGATACAGAGACTAGACAACCTCTCCATCCCCCAGACACACACATACACGAACACACACACTATTTCCACCCCCACCTTTTGTTCAGACAGCTCCCCTCCAGCTATGGGACAGTGAAGAAGGGGAGAGATGAGGCTTTAGAGCTACTGTACTGGATCTAGCCACTCTCACATTTACTGTATATACAGAAAACACACGCACTCTAAACACACATTGAACACACGGCTGTTTTTATTAATGGTCCTGATAATGAAACACTTTCTTTGTTCACTCTTACATTAACATGGCTTAGTAACAAAGTATTCGTTCTGCTTTATCAAATAAATAGGTTGTTAGGTCAGTAGTTTCTGTAGCTTGATTAGGGCTGCAACTAACAATTATTTTAATCTTTTAATTAATCTGCTGATTTTTTTTTTTTTTATAAATTATTTGGTATTAAAATGTCAACAACAGGGAATCAATCTTCTAAAACGTCTTCCGATTGCTTTTACATTCTAAAACCATAAAACATTAACTTTACTGTCACATAGGACAAAGAAAAGCTGAGATGCTGGAAATAATGAATGTGAGGCATTTCTGTTGCTTAAACGATGATCGAAATAGCTTTTCTATCCATTCTCTGTTGATCAACTGATCAAATTATTTGAACAGCTGTTTCAGCTTTAAGGTTGATGAAGAAAAATTTAGCGACCTCCAAGGAAAGCCTTAAATGAAGAGGGATACAGAGCAGAAAGAAATAACACTTTACATGGAAATGGAAGCTAAAACTGAATCCAGGATGCTAAAATATGATGATAATGGAAAACACATTAACGCTTTCTGTACAATAAATATCTTAACAAAGCTGCTGCACAGGGTCCATCATATCTTTGAATGATACTCAATGGACCATGTCCCATTGTTACTAACCCATGTAACTGTGTAGGAACAAAAGTCATAGATTTTCTTTCTCTGAATTTCTGTTAAATCATCCACAATAAAAGTCCCCATAGGAGCCCTAACAAAGAGCGGAAGTGCCTCCTCCTCCAGCCCTGCTGCTTCCAACAGCAATCAATAAACAGCCATTGGGCTGTCTGCCATTGACGGACTTCTGTCTCATCCTGCTGCCAGTGAAAGCTCAGAGCTAATGGTGCTTTTTGGAATCACTGCACCTCTACAGACAATCTATTGATGCTTTATTGTGTCTGCTGCACGCTCACATTTCTTTTATCCTGCACGCAGCCTGATGTGGAGTTTAAATGATACAGATATTTGTGTAAAGAAGAGGAAATGTTGATGACAGGGTCAATACTGAGCACGCCCAGTGATTACCATCATTAGGAAAGGTGGAGGTTTGGGTAGAAGAAGCAATGCTTGGAAGGTAGAAGATATTTGAGGGAGAGATGAAAGAAAATAAAGGCACAGAAAAGTGAAACAGAATATATGGGTGGAGTGTCATTTTTGAGAGAGATTTGGATCACTCAGAAGTGGCTCAGGGAGTCTTCACAGCATATGGAGTGTTGTTACATCAGAAGGCCAGCAACCTGAGGGGGTCCCTGGACCTCACTTTGAGATCCACTGAGAAAAGCAGCAAATGCTCACATTGTTGGACGTTCTTACTTAAAAAAATGTATGTATTAGCAAAATAAATTTCTGTTAATTGAGTTTTTTTTAAAGCTCTGAGGAAGCACATTGCATTTATCAAAGAAAAACATTTTTTCTCCCAATTATGACTTAATATTTCTACTAAAACTGGGACCATTGTATGATTATTAATATTCTTATTATTATTTCACAGTTATGACCTCTAGTCAAGGTATGAGTCGTAGGTGACTGTAACATGTAGTGCACAGCTTGATTCCAAGTGCGGAAGTTTCAGTTAGTGTACACGGTGTACGTTTTTAGACCAGAGGATCACCGTGATGCTCCACTTAAAAAGGGCAACCGTGCACTTCAGTGAACTGATTCACAGATGTCAGTTTGTAAAAGTGAAAGATGTTTCACCCTGCCGAAAGAGAAATGCTTCCTGATGCATTCGTTAGACTATTTGGTTAAAGCCCAACTGGAGAAGCAGAAAGACTGAAAGACGTCTCCTAATGATGGACTTAAGTTAGGCTAATGAAAATGTTGTGAAACTGTGTCTGTGCCATGCTTTGATTGGGAAGGTTCATCTTTATTCTGAATTGAAATTATAATTGACTGGTGTTCATGTATCCTTCAAGATGGTTGAGAATGGCCTACATACAGAAACTCTGGAAACTGGGAAGCAGCCAACAGCAGCTATTTTTGGAAATGCTCACCCAGTTTGTTCTGAAGTGGACGGGTGTTGGCCTTGCCAAGATGTTGTCCCTGCAGTGTGGGTTCCCTGCTTGGAGCTGTTAATTTTTGCTTGGTGATTTTGGTAAATAGTGTGGATGCTGTCGTATGGCACAAGCATACATCAAATATAAAACCAAAGGCGATAAAATTTCCATTAATAGTTAAGCCTAGGCTGCATTACAATCTGAAGGCAAGAGAACTGTGACAAAAAGTGCAGTAAGTGGCATCATGGGAATTTTAGGATTCAGCTTGACAATACTTTGTACTAAAAGACAGGATCTCTCAGTCTCTGCTGCTTGGATTTTTAAAACATCTGTCTCTGTAAATATTCCAGTGTTATGGAATAACTATACTAACCCTTTTGACTACCCTTTAACCTAATTCTTTACTCACGCTTTTTCTTGCCTTGGAAATCTTTGTTTTTACCTCCATTCTTTGTCCTGTTGATATCAAGGGTTAAAATGATTTGTTAATTATGACATACATTGATAAAAGCTCTCATTCTTTGTCATATTATTTTATATGGAATATTGCCATTATTTGACAGTTGTTAGGGACAGGAAACATGAGGGGAAGGAGAGGCGAATGACCTGTAACAAAAGAGCACAGCTTGGTTCAAAGTGGGGAAGTTTGAGTTGGCGTGCTGGATCACCAGGATGCTCCAAAACTCACTTCTTCACAGGTTCTGAGCTTCTTTTTAGAACAGGACAACCGTGCAGATGTCTGTTAGCGAAAATGACAACATGCTTCACCCAACCTGAAGAAGAAACCTTTTCTTTCCAGTAATTCTACTCCAGAAATCACAAGAAGAATTGGAATATCTAATTGCAATATTGCAAGGCATATTGAATCAGCCCAATAAGAATTAAAATCATTTTCAGGAGCTATTTTGATGCTTCCCATTCCTTAATAAGTAATTCCAGGTGTCTGTTTTAGCTTGAAACTTTAAATATAATTTTCAGTCATTAGTTTCCACTAGCCAATATCTCATTTTCCTTTTTGTGTGGCGGCACTATGAATACTAGACAAACTGATGGATCCGTCTAATGTTTGGTCATTTTCTGTGTTGTCAGATCTGGCTAAGAACCGTCTGTGTGAGCTGCCGGAGGAGCTCTGTCAGTTCATCTCTCTGGAGACGCTGAGCCTTTACCACAATGGGATGCGTTCGCTGTCCTCCAGCCTGGGCAACCTCCAGGCCCTCACCTACCTCAACCTCAGGTAACTCAACACCATGCGCACGCTACTGGATGAGCCAGTTTGCTGGTTCTCATTGCACTGTGGCTTACTGTGACAGGCAGGGGTGTAACAGTGCACAAAATTATGGTTTGGTATGTACCTCGGTTACATTCAACAGTAGTTCGTTGGTCATAATTCTTAGCGGGTTGCATGTAAACACTCTATAGCGTTAGTTATTGCTGTGGCACAGTGTGACCTCTGGGAGGAGAAGGACTCTCCTTTCAGTCTAGTTTTCTCGTTCCGCTACTCAACACATTTGGGTGACGCCGTCGTAAATGACATGTTTGAAGTGTTTCCACACACAAACCTCACCTCATTTGAAGTCGGCATACAGTTTCATTGCCTGTTTTTCTCTGTAACTAACTGGGATAATGCTCCTATTTAATGTATTCACAGTACAGTGCAGAACTTTTTTTTTCAACAGTATGCACAAAAATGCAATGTTGATGCCCAAAAAGGCACTGAATACCTATTTATCTACATTTTGCAGCCTTGGCAGGAGCAGAGATCAGGTGCACTCTGACCCGGTTTGTAATGTAGGTTATAATATTGTAGTGACATTTATAGTTTTAACCATTAGTGAGTGGGCTGTTACATTTCTTGACACCGGCTCCAGTATTTTGTTCGCAGTTTGGCCCCCCCCCCCACGTCTGAAATGAATCTGACGCCCTTGTCCACACTTTCAAATGAAAGTATGGCATGTGGTTTCCCATTACCTAACGCAGGCAGTTTGTGGCCTCACATGCCTCTTCATAAAGAGAAAGAAAAGAGAGGGCACAAGAGTGAAAGAGTGTGTGAGCATAAAACATATTTACACACAAACTTAATTTGGTCTGTATTTCATTGCGGTTGCTAAATAAACAAGAACTATCGATAGATGTCTCAGCAACCCTTAGGTGGTTTCCTTCCACATATTGCATGTTCTGCTGAATGTTGAAAGTGGTGATGATAAACTTGTACTGATCTTACAGTACTTTAATTTAAAATCTGTAGAATTTTTGGAACAGGGTGTGATGAGGAATGTCAACAAAGACTCCTATAAAGTTATGGAATATATTATTCAGCATTTTCAGCTGGATAATATTGTTTCCTCGTGGCCTTGCTGTAGCCAAGTTTCATGGATCGCACCAGTCTCCAGGCCTGGTGGTTGGGAACGACTAATGAGTATCACTTTAGTGAGTGTACCCATTGTTTGTAATAATCTTACATTGCACAGGAACTGTGGTAAGTACGGTAGGTCAGCCTTTAACAAGTTGGTTTGTAAAAACTCGAAAGAATAAATCCCAAGTTTTAATAAAATGTAATTCTTTAAAAGTTGGACTTTGGCACACTGCAGAGGCAGCAGTGAGCACTTTACATCACTTTCACAGTTTGCAGTTTGCAGGTGCATGACGCCTCTAAAGCGCAGCTGTTGTTTGAAAACTGGATTTGAACTTCAGTGTTTGTTTATGCTGGAGATGAAAAGAGGCTGTCCAAATCCCGTCCAAACGTTCTTACAACAACAGAACCACTCCTCACACTCACGCACTAATTTAACTGTTGCTAGGAGACCAGAACAGCCCTCCAGGTGGCTGGTAAAACAGGCTGCAAGTTTAGATTCAACGCGAATATACTGTATCACAAAGACTCAATGTACAGTACTGTGCAGAAGTTTCAGGCAGGGGTTAGACATGTCAACAGATTCTATTTATTAATTAACAAAATACAAAGTGAGTGAACAGAAGAAAACTCTAAGTCAAATCAATATTTGGTGTGACCACCCTTTGCCTTCAAACAGCATCAGTTCTTACACTTGCACAAAGTTTTTGGAGGACTTCAGCAGGTAGGTCGGCCCAAACATCTTGGAGAACTCCCCACAGTCCTTCTGTAGATTTAGGCAGCCTCAGCTGCTTCTCTCTCTTCATGTAATCCCAGACAGACTGGATGATTTTAGATCAGGACTCTGTGGGGGCCACAGTTCTTCTTTAAACTGAAGATAGTTTTTAATGACTTGCGCTGAATGTTTGGGCTCATTGTCATGCTGCAGAATAATCCCTGACGGGACTGCATGAAGAAGTATCTGGCTGTACTTCTCAGTATTAAGGAGACCATTCAGACCAAATTCCTAACTCTGTCTGCAGAAATGCAGCCTCAAACTAACAAGGAACCTCCACCATGCTTCACCACCTGCAGACGCTCATTGTTCTACCACTCTCCAGCCCTTCACTGAACAAACTGCCTTCTGCTACAGCCAGATATTTCAAATTTGACTCCTCAGTCCAGAGCACCTGCTGCCATTTTTCTGCACCCCACTTCTGTGTTTCTGTGCATAGTTGAGTCTCTTGTCCTTGTTTCCATGAGGCTTTTTGGCCGCAAGTCTTCCATAGAGGTCACTTCTGACAGTAGATGTAGGTGTACCAGAGTCCCACTGTTTTGGTTTGGCCGACCACTGCGTCTACGGTCCTCATCGTAGCCTGTTTCTTTGGACAGCACATTTGGAAACCCCTGTCTGCTTTGAAATATCTGCCTGGGAGAGAGCTTGCTGATGCAGCATAGCTACCTCGTGTCTCCTGTGCTCAGTCTTGCCACGCTGTGTGACTTTTACAGTAACCCGTGTTCAGCAGCATCACCTTGTTAGCCGAGTTTGGCTGTTCCTCACCCAGTTGTATTCCTCCTACACAGCTTTTCTGTTTCACTAATGATTGTGTTTGAAGACCAAAGGTAGTCACACCAAATATTGACATGCTTTAGATTTTTCTGTTCACTCACTTTGCATTTTGTTAGTTGATTAATATAATCTATTAACATGTCTATTTTTGACATTTTTTATGCCCTCTCTTGTTACCGCAAGAAAATGTATAAGGCATGTCATGATTTTTATTGGGATTTTAAACAAGAGTGTATCAGTGATTATGTCTTTGACACCCAATGCACCCTTACACCTGGCCCAGATGGATGTACCTCTTAAATGACTTCCGTGTGTGTGTGTGTGTGCACATGCTTCTCTCCACAGTCGTAATCTTCTGTCCAGTTTACCCCCGTCGGTGTTTCAGCTTCCCCTCCTGCGAGTGCTCATCGTCAGCAACAACAAGCTGTGTTCACTGCCTGCATCCATATACGCCCTCACACACCTCCGCCAGCTGGTATGATATAACACACACACCTTACTGTCTCTCATCAGCACTTTCTTTCTGTGCTATAACTCTGTCAGCAACAGCTTATAGTTTAAACATCAGTCTTTTCTGTGGTAAAAGGGGGAGGAAAAAGTCAAATTCCATCAGTGTCATTATTTCAGTGTAGATGTTTTTATGTCCTTGTTGGTCATAATCAAAAATAGTGTTTTAATGTAAAGTCTGAGTTTAAAGCAAAAGTCTCCAGATCCTTTTCTGGTGTACTTAAACATGTGAGTGGACTTACCAAACTTCTGCAGTTTTCAATGACTGGTCTTGGATCACTTTATTGTTTCTGTGTCTTCCTCTCTCAGGATGTCAGCTGTAATGAGCTGCAGTGTTTACCAGCAGAGCTCGGCCAGCTAGAGTGTCTGAGGGACTTAAACTTGAGGAGGAACCAGCTCACCTCTTTGCCTGAAGGTAAAGTCAAACCTCCTCTAGTGGTCCTGCCACTGTGACCACCTCAGCTGGTATTGCTTACGTCCATCTTTTCTCTGTGCTCTTTGTCCCCATGAAGTGATTCTGCACGATTAATAGGATTCAATCTCTACTTTTACATGTCAACAATGACTAGAAATATCCAAACCATCACTGATTTTAATTAATGTATGTAAAAACATGAATAGTGAAGTACCAATAAGTTGAAGCCCAAATGACACTATATAACTAATAAAATGACCCTCCCTTTGCATCATCCAGAAATATCCGAGCTCCCCCTTGTTCGTCTCGATGTGTCCTGCAACCGCATTTCCCAGGTTCCCTTGTGCTACCGCCACCTCCGGCACCTCCAGAGCATCTCACTAGACAACAACCCGCTGCAGATGCCACCTGCACAGATCTGCTCCAAGGGCAAATACCACATCTTCAAGTACCTCAACATGGAGGCCTGCAAGAGGAGCCAGGAGGAGCTGGAGAGACACCTGAGGCCCACTGGATTTAACAGCTGGTGAGGAGGACAGGAGGGAGGGAGCAAGTAACTGAAGGGGTTTAAGAAAAGAAAAGGCAATGCAAGGTGTGGAGATGGTCAGGGAGTAGCAGAAAAGAACTACAATAAGCATTTTCTAGAATATCTTACGCCAAGTAATAAAATATATAAGGGGGGGGGGATTATATACTTTAATTTGACAGGATTATTTCACAATGGAATTGCTTCAGACTTGTTTTTCAGCTCAGCTGTAGAGGATGCTTTCACCGTTTCAACTTTCTGGGTAAAAACACATTTGTTTCTTAGGTGAGATGAGAGGATCACTGTCAGTGTATGTACAGTGCTGCAGTCAGGTCGTGGTTAGCTTGGCATAAAGACTGGGTGTCAGGGGAAACAGCTGCCGTTGCTCTGCCCAAAATAAAAACAACAAAGCCCACCCATACATACATGAAATTAACATGCTGCATATTCTAGCTGTACACGAGTGGCAAGGCTCTGCGTAGTCGAGTTGTTCACAGACCTATAGCAAAACCTGTGATAGACCCAAAGACGCACGTTCCCAGAATGTTGAACTATTCCTTTAACAAAGCAGCAGGAAAGATACATCGGGCTTTACAGAGTTTATACAGACAGTGGAGTCAGAAGGGAGGCCATGCTTTTGTCCACACTATTCTGCTTTTGATTTATTTATTTGCAGTAATGGACAGTGACTTGTAACAGTTTATTTGCACTTGCCATTAGGCAGGAAAAAGAAGCCTTTTACAGAACAAGAGCTAGTTCACACTTGACTACGACATTAACACAATGGAGACAGTCACTGTAAAATTTAAGTGACAGTTGGACATATGTAGAGTAATTGATGGTGGCAATTATTGCAGCTAGACATTATAATATATATAGCGTAGTTGTGAAAAAAATTGCCTCCACAATATGCACTTGAGTAAAGAGGGGAAGAAAAATGTGAACATGAGGAGAGAGGATGAATGGCAGGTGGTGCAGTAAATGTAGAATAGGGAAATGGATAATAGATGGTGATAGTTAAAGGTATGTTCACTAAGAGGAAGCAGAGATATCAAATATTTATAAACTTGAATGGACCCCTTTTAGATAGCTAGTGAGCTATTTCCATGAAATAGATAGTTTCAAGGACAGAGAGAATATTTGACAGAAGAGCTCTGAAGGAAAAAACATGAGTCACCGCCCTTTAGACCAATGAACCACTATGTAAACAGTCTGCCAACAAGACTGCTCTGTAATTGTGTGTGTGTGTGTGTGTGTGTTTTAACATATCCTAATGTGTGCTCTACATGTTTCCCTGCAGTCTGTCAGACCAGGAGCTGTTCACAGGTCAGTTTGGAGGGCTAGATTCTGGGTTCAACAGTGTGGACAGCGGCAGCAAACGGTGGTCTGGGAATGAGGTAAAACTACTGGACACTCACCCAGTCATTTATACACTACCCTAACATGTGTCATGACTGACTAAATTATATGTTGGTTGTGTTAAACAGGGTGTAAACATACTCAAGCTGCATATAATATCTGATGAGCCAAAACGGTCAACATATTTGACCCCAACAGAGAGTGAATGCAATATGACATTACATGAACCACAATATGTAATGAAGGAGTGGTGATACAGTATCTCACAAAAGTGAGTACATCCCTCACTTTATTATAAATATTTGATTCTATCTTTTCATGTGACACTGAAGAAATGACACTTTGACTACAATGTAAAGTAGTGAGTGTACAGCTTGTAGAACAGTGTAAACTTGCTGTCCCCTCAAAATAACACACAGCCATTAATGTCTAAACCGCTGGCAACAAAAGTGAGGACACCCCTAAGTGAAAATGTCCTAATTGGGCCCAAAGTGTCAATATTTTGTGTGGCCACCGTTATTTCCCAGCACTTCCTTAACCCTCTTGGGCATGGAGGTCACCAGTGCTTCACAGGTTGCCACTGGAGTTCTCTTCCACTCCTCCATGACGACATCACAGACCTGGTGGATGTTAGAGACCTTGCGCTCCTCCACCTTCCGTTTAAGGACGCTCCACAGATGCTCAGTGGGGTTCAGGTCTGGAGACGTGCTTGGCCAGTCCATCACCTTTACCCTCAGCTTCTTTAGCGAGGCAGTGCTCGTCTTGGAGGTGTGTTTGGGGTCGTTATCATGTTGGAATACTGCCCTGCGGCCCAGTGTCTTCTCTGCTTCAGTATGTCACAGTACATGTTGGCATTCATGGTTCCCTCAGTGAACTGTAGCTCCCCAGTGCCGGCAGCACTCATGCAGCCCCAGACCAGGACACTCCCAACACCATGCTTGACACACTTGTTTTTGTCCTCCTCACCTGGTTGCTGCCACTCACGCTTGACACCATCTGAACCAAATAAGTTTATCTTGGTCTCATCAGACCACAGGACGTGGTTCCAGTGATCCATGTCCTTAGTCTGCTTGTCTTCAGCAAACTGTTTTCCGGGCTTTCTTGTGCATCATCTTTAGAAGAGTCTTCCTTCTGGGACGACAGCCATGCAGACCAGTTTGATGCAGTGTATGGTCTGAGCACTGACAGGCTGTTAAACCGCTGTATGGTCTTGTGGTCTTGGCCACCATGCTGCAGCTCAGTTTCAGGGTCTTCGCAATCTTCTTATAGCCTAGGCCATCTTTATGTGGAGCAACAATTTTTTTTTTGGTCCTCAGAGAGTTCTTTGCCATGATGAAGTGTGAGAGCGAGAACACCAAATTTAACAGAAGAAATACAACAAATAGAAATAAAAGAACAAATACAGCCTACCCGTCGACGGTGTTAACAATCGACTACATATAAAAGCCTCAGTGACTGTATCTGAGTGTCTGTCTGTGTGTCCAGTCAGCAGATGACTTCTCAGAGCGTTCCCTTCGCATGGCCGAGGTCAGCAGAGACCAGAGGAATCTGGAGGAGGAGGAAGAGGAGGATGGATCTCCTCTGGAAGCTAACAAGGGTGAGGAGGGACATGCCTACTCTAAGTCAGTGTTCTTCATGTAATGAAGCGTGTTGAACCGTGTTCTGTATGTTTCTGTTTTTCCAGCCACAAAGGTTTCAGAAATAATAGATTTGTTAGCACATTTAGAGAAAATCTTCTCCATTCTCTTTGCAGTGAATGGAGAGGCTGAGCATGTGGACTTCATCGACAGCAGCGTGACAGAGGAGGAGGAGATCAGGATAGATCCACCCACACCTCCTCTCACAGCACCTTCTCTGGTACCACTCTTTCAGACCGATCAGCAATTGTGTCAGATCCTCTTGTTGCTCAACATCTTGCCTCATATGTTATCTTAGAACAGGGAAGTTATTCAATGTGTCATTTATTTCCAGGAACCAAAGGAGAGCTATTCACTGCCCCAAACCCAGGACTCAACAATAAGCAGGTAAGTCCTACTGTAAAAGATACCCTTTGCAAGGCAGTGCTACTATTTAGCAGAATAAACCAGAGCACGTATTTCAGCACAAAACAGGAATATTGGTTTGCAGAGTCACTCCAGATGAATTTTAGATGGAGTGAAAACAGTGTGGGCAGAGGGCAAGCCAGATCTTTAGACTGTGTGCGCGGACTCTTTAAAGCACAAAGCTACATAATGATTTAAAGTTTAAAACAGGAATATCAGTTCAAAGTTCAAAATAGGAAAATTGTGTTTCAGCATAAAACTGGAAGAGCAAAGTTTCAGATGGTGAAAGGAGTAATAGGTGATCGAAAACTATTACTGCCAATTTGTTAATCCTCTTCTGTGAGGGGGGAGGAAGGACCAGAAGAACAAGGGTTGATGAGAAGTGCCTCAGTTTTCCGTAACACCAGTGGTGTTTGACGCCGGTAATGACCTCCTCCAAGGTCTCGTTTGTTTACAGTTCTTGTGCCAAGTTATTCCAGGATATCTGAACAGCATTTACGTAGCACCTTTAATTCTACTCAGCTGGTTTCTGTGTTCTTCATTGAAGCTCAGCAGTGTGTTGGTTTCTCTGGTTACTAGAGTTACAAAGACCGACAAGGTTTCTCTCTCTCTTTTCCTTCCTTGTTTTACAGGGTCACTTTACAGCATATTTGAAAAGCTGGGAAAGTCAATAGGCTAGAGTTCCCATTACTTACAGTGTTAGTCACTCTCTGCCCCTCAAACTCTGCCCGTTGAGTGCTTGTGGGCGCCGTTATCTTGGAAGGTTTACAGTTTTCACTCACTGACTCGCCCAGTTTTTACTTTTATTACAATGTGGCAACATTAAGCGCTTTGTCTAATGGTATCTTTTAAAAGCTGATCTAAAACAAAGCATGCCAGAGGGAGTGTAAGAGCAAAATGAGATGCCAGTAATATCTGTGCTGAAGCAATTGGTCGATAAATTTGCAAATGAAATCAGCACAGCTAAATGGAGTGCAGCCATTGACCACTGTTTCTCCAGTTGGAAAAACATTTGACCAGTCAAAACTTTGTAGGCGGGGATCAGGAATAGAGACGTCACCTTTCTGTGCCACAGCAGGAAAAAAGGCTACATCCATGAAACATTGCTACAGAAAAATGGCAAGCATGGATGAGATGTTGTAAGTCAAACAGAAATTGCATGAAATCAGTCTAAAGGAATGACCATCCATCCATCGTCAACCGCTTATCTGGCGTACAGGGTCGGGGGGGCTGGAGCCAATCCCAGGTGACATCGGGCGAAAGGCGGGGTGCACCCTGGACAGGTCGCCAGTCCACCGCAGGGCCACACATAGACAGACAACCAGTCACACTCACACCTAAGGACAATTTAGGGTCAACCTAGGCACATGTCTTGGCCACAGGGCTATCCACCAGACCACTGTGCCGCCATAAAGGAATGACGTGGAACAAAATAGCAGTCTGATTACAGACACAGGCTCCTATATTAAAACGTCCTTTTTTTTAATCCCCGTGTTTTCCTTTCCATGTAGTGTCGTCGTCAGCAGCAGCCACATTCACAGCCCTGTTTGTGCTGCAGCCCAGCAGGCGGCTTTTTATCATGCTGCTCTGTTGTTCCATAACCAAGATAGCTACATTGTTGAGATTTATTTCCCAGCAGCCCCCTTGGCTACATATTAATATGGGATGCAGGGCCATTGTTCTCAGCCTCTGGAGGAACAAGCAGCATGCACCATTGTTCTAAATCTTTGAGTTTTATCAACTGGTCTCGGGCCAAATTACTAACATTTATTCAGCGCTCAGACCCTCAATAAGCCTCATATACAGTACATGATTTCAATGTGGTACCGGGACTGCCAGTCTGTTGTTTCTGACTTTTGAGGAGGAAGACCAAGTTCAGCTGTTGGACAATCCTGTATCGCCTCTACAAACACAACACTTCCGATCATCGTGTATCTTGAACAAACGGATGTTCTAAATCTTGGCTTCCATCGCTTCCTTTGGGACTTCTAAGAATAGAATACAGGGACCTAATATGGAAACTAAACACAGTTTGTAAACAGACTTTTACTAGATAAAATGTCTAGATAAAACATCTATCAAATCTGCTGTTTTATTTTGAGTTTCTATTCTTAAGCTTTTATCTGCTCTCACTTTTAGTTGTCAGACTGGCTGGAACCTCGTCAGTGTACAATCTTCACCCAGTGTGGTACATAGAATTTTTGGATTGTCATGCATAAAACCAAATGGATAAATATTTACTACAACTTGAACAAAATCTGTTTTCAGTGTGGTGGTGGTCTAGGGCCCATTTCCCAAAAACTGCCATAACTTGTGTGCTGTGTGTGTTGTGCTGTTAATCAAGTTTGTTCGACGGGGCTAGTAAAAATGGTTTCATGTAGCCTGTAACAAGTTGGGCTCCTTTTTGTATCATTTGGCCGTTTCCCCTAATGAACAGTTAAAGGCTAAATTCCATTAGTCTGGCTCTGTCTCTCCTCAGTGCTTTGAATCCTGTAGGCTCATGCCTAGTAACTGACAGCCGGTGACCTACAGAACCAAATGCAATTTCAGCTTATTTTAGCTAGGCTCTGAAATAAAAAAACTCTGTTTATATAATTGAAGACTTCTTTGACTTGTATTCAGTCAGGGAACATAACAGGAAGATTCGTCCCAGGATATTTATCAGCCAAATCAGGCAACAGCGACTCCAAATGAACTGATAAAAATGTGTGGAATTTCACATTGTCTTATTTGCCTCATTGGTCTTCTTCTAACTCTTTTCCTCATTCTTTTTCCTTTCTAGGTCTAGCCTCGATGTGGTGGTGGGCCCCCCATCATCAACCTCATCCTCTCCCCTGTCCCCCTCCAGCCCCACGCTGGAGGAGCGGAAGAGGCCGGGCACCCTGTTCATCTGGCAGGAGAGAGAGCGTCTGCAGCAGCAGAGAGAAAAGGCCAGGTAAATCCTTACATACACAATGTTTTCACCTGTGCTGATTACATTTATTATCAAATTTTATTTTGAGGGAAATGTTTGTCATAAAGGGTGGAAATCTTCATGGAAGAAGATTCATTTGATGCCAAGTGCATGAATGGTTTGGACACAGACATCACATGACATTAGCAACCATAATGTAACTCTCAAACTGGAACACAGCCTGAACATGAGCGTTTCTAAGTTGGCCTGTTCAGAGCAGCTTGTGTTCCACACATACAGTAAGGAACAGCTCTCTGTCTTTCTCATATCTAATTATACTCTTTCCAAAACTCTTAATTTTGCAGTTTGCTGAAGTCATCCTCCAAAGCAGGAAGTCTTGCAGCCACCGCACCACCGACAGGAAGTAGCTCGGCGTAAGTAAGGGCTGTTGAACAGATCAAACATACAGCAGTGCGACAGCAGAGAGACACGTGACATAAAGTGACTTAAAAGTAAAACTCACATCCATTCATTCATCCATTTCCTCAAATGGAGGGAGGCTAGAGGGTGTGGGAAGTGTTGGTTTTCTGTAGTGAGCAAACGTCAGTGTCTGTCTCCCCCTAGTGGTGCATCTCCAGAGAACAGCAGCTCTAACTCAGGCCTTCGGCAGCGATGTGCAGTGAGTAGCAGCCGTTATTCCTTCAGTAAATACAGCTGAGAGATGCACAGCATGCGCATAGCGTGTGTCTCCGTTGATGAAAATCTTATTAGATTTTTAAAAGTTTCTTTTTTATTAGAGCGCTGACCAGATGAGCACAGTGTGTACAACACTTCTACAGCGTTCCAGCAGCAGAACAGGTACCCCACACACACACACACACACACACACACACACACACACACACACACACACACACACTCTTGTTTTTAAAATTATTTAAATCTAAACATGCAGTAGCTTATTATTATTTTAATTTTATTACATATTGCAGGAGGTGCTGTAGCTAAGCTATTATAAGGGCATATTATTTCCCGCCCACAGACGAATACCTCAGAGATAGATTCAGTCACTATGACAACCACTGATATTTACAGTGTAAACATGACCGATGAAGGCATTGCTGCTGTTTCAAGCTGTGGGTTTTGCCAACTTACTCCTATGATGTTATTATACAACTGAGCCATCATTGTTTCCTAACACCTCTGCCGGTCTGAACCGGAGAAACGCTACACTTCTGAAGCGGTGCCCAAGGCAAATACAACTGTGTGTAACCTTAGCAACAAAACTAACGATTCACATTACCTTATGAGTCGACTTACTGGTGACTAACGTCACGTAATGGTGAAATTGAAAGTTCGTTAATGACCTTGGAAACAGCACGGTCTCATCACAAATGATCAGTAGCTGTTTTGGACCTTCTGATCATGTCACACAGTCTTCCTCAGTATGTGGCCCTGAACTCATAGAAATGTTCACATTTGCTTCTTTTTTTTTACCCTGAGCACTTGGCGGACTTTGCTCCATGTTGGTTTAAAGGGTGAGACTGGTTATGGATGATGATGATTTAATTAGAATTAGAAAGTCTTGATCATTGTACAAAAATATACAACAAAATTAGAAAGAATATTGCTCTAAGAAAATGTAGGTAAAAAGATATTGCACTGGAATGTAATCAGTGAGTTAGAATCATTTAAAAGAAATTAGAGGAGACCTGTACAGTCTGCCAGAGGGCAGGAGACTGAACAGGTGGTGACCAGGATGGGATGGAGTCCTTAGTTATTTTCCTGGAAAGCTCTTTCAGGGAGGGCAGAGGGTGTTTTTTTTTTTTTTGAACGGTTTTGATGACCCTCTGCAGACATCTCCTGTCTGCCGCTGAACAGCCAGCATATAGACTGTGATGCAGTACACCAGTACACTTTCCATCATGGAGTGGTAGAAGGCCACCAGCATTCTCAAAAGCTGCTGGGTCTTTTTTACCGCTGTCATGTTTGTAGACCAGGACAGATCCTCTGGGATGTGAGTTCCAAGAAAATTGAAAGAGGAAACCCTCTGCACACGATCCCCGTTGATGTAGAGTGGGGCAGGGTCCACTGTGTGCCTCCTGTAGTCAGTTTCTTTGGTTTTGCTGGTGTTGAGTGCCAGCTTGTTCATAGAACACCACTCTGAACTACAGTGCCAAGAAATAATAAGCCTGTGCACTTTTTTCCATAATTTAGTCATTAATTGGGGCTCTGACCTTCTTAAAAGTCACAATAATGGAAAGCTATATCTGTCTCAAATAGAAAGGGAGTTTTACTAACCAGTTCAACCTTATTTTACAGCAGTGACCTGAACCAAAATGTGTTGATCACTTCTCCACATTGGCCAGGATTTCCCTATTCAAAACTGTTCACTTATATTGATATTTCAGGAACGGCTCCTTTCTGTTCCTGTCACAGAATCTCATTTGATTTGAGGCCAAGATTGACCTTGACATTCTGAAATATTACTTTTCTTATGTCTAAGGCATTTTATTTTCAGGGCCATTTTTGTGCATTGAGCATCGGATGACTGACAGGTAGCTGAAGGTTTTATACATTTGAGTGCATTGTTCCCTCAGTGGTTATTCGGGCCCAGGGGCATGAAGATCCATACTTTATGTGTCACCTTTGCTTTTATGGTTGGAGATCTATTATTTTGTTTAGCTTTATTAACCCAAAGTGTTTTGCAAACAAATATTGTGTTTTCTATCAAGTTTTCACGTAACCTCGTCCCGGTGACGTAATGGAGCATTCAGGCCAATTTGAGATGTACAGTGTCGTTGGGCTATCTTAAGGGAGAGCCATGCTTTCCTCCTCTAGCGTTGCCCTTCCATGATCACCATTTATTTTTATTTTTTTTCTTACTGCCGAGACATTAATCACAACCTCAGTGACTCTGAGATATTTAGACAGGTTACCTGGAACCCAAGGCTTCTCTTCCACCTTTTTGCTGTCGTGTTTGTTCAGAGCAAGGCTCAACTAACCACTAACTACAGTTTCATCTTACATTGATAGGAAAGTCTGACTTGTCTCTTTTTATAGGTACTTTGTGAAGGTGTTCAAACATTATTTAATAAATATAGACATAGATTGTATCTGGCTAATATAGTGACTTTGATTAAGGTCAGAGCACATTTTATGACTGAATTCTGCATAAATGTAGGTAATACCAGAGGGCTCACTTTCTTACTTTGGTAAGTTCAGTTAGTGATGAAACAATAACGGACTTGAAAAGAGAAGAACATACAACAGAGGTGTTTCACACAACCACCTTCACTGCTCTGGGCTTTTCTTCACCTCACGTATTGTCTGCTGTCAATAACGGTAATTGTAGTGAATTTTCACTGACCAACTTACTAGTGCTGGATAGTGAACCTCAGTACTTTAGGGACCAGCCAAACTGTGCCCCAGCTGAATATAAAAAAAACTGCTACAGCACCAAAGGTTGGCATCAAATGCTTTGTTTAGATTTGTAGAAGTAAAGCTAAGGTGTCCTTTGTCCTCTGATGCACTGCAGAAGTTTTGCTCTTTACGTTGAATGAAAAGGTGAAGTAGTAGTGTATTATCTGTGTTATTTTGATCGTGAAACTTCCCTCTTCTAAACGGTGGCCTGACCATCTTTATACAAGTTCACACTTAGCTGCTCTTCTGTGAGCTTTCAACCCCATCCTCATTGTACGTCTGTCCTTTCATGTCATATAAATTGAATGGTATGGAAATGTGTAGTATGAATGTATCTCCTTACATCTTACATACACCTGTAACATTGAGCTGAATGTTTGTGCCAGATGTCCCTTCCTCCCCGAAGACTTCCCCTCCACCCGGCCAGGCACAGAAACCCAACAGCTTCCTGTTCCGCACCTCCTCCCGCAGCAACGTCAGACCCACAGGTACACAAACAACACAACGCACACCCTTTCCGCCTTCACTCAGTGCTGCAGAAATGTTCCAACGTCTTTGTCTTTTTGTCAGGGTCCATCTTTACTCTTGGTGAGTCTGGCAGAAGTGAGTCTCGCACGATGTTGCGCTCTCCGAAAGAGGAGAGACAAGACATCAAACAGCTACGCAAGGTAAACATGTACAGAAAACTAGTGGTGTGATGAGATCTCGTGCCACGTCTCGTCGAGGTGAAAAGCTGTCTCGCGATATCAGCATGACAGACTGTGAGGGTGAAATCAGCATAGAAGATGCCCCCGCCACATTTAAATAAATACTTTGTGTGGGAGCATTTCGGGTACCAAGTGGAAACAATTTTCCAACTTTGATTTCACCTGAAACTCCTGAAGATTTACTGAAAGCTACGTAAGACGACCTGTGACTAACAAAGGTCATCTGACCGCAATGTAGCTTTCAGTAAATGTACCATAACTACAGTATATATAGTGAGGGAGGTTCTCTTTTTATTAATTTTTTCTCCTCAAACACCCCTGTGGTGTGTGTTGTAAACGTTTATGTTAATTAAATAACTGTGACAGTCTCACACATACTCTATATCGGCATCTTCTCACAGTTTGAAGATGTGAGATGCTTAAAGATAGAATTGAATTTGTGTGATGTTTCTACACACATATGCAAAACATCATCGTTATTTTAGTTGCTGCGTAAGAAGCTTTTTAATGCTGACTGGAATAATAATCTAACATAATGCTGTCTGTCTCCCTCCTCAGACTTTGGAGTCTCGGCTGAAGATCACTCTGCCGGAGGATCTGGGCGAGGCCTTGTCTAACGGCACCACCCTCTGCCAGCTGGTCAATCAGATTCGACCGCGCTCCGTGTCAATCATCCACATTCCCTCCCCAGCAGTGGTGAGTCTGTCCTTCTGCCTTTTAATGATCACACAGTTCCTCTGTTGAGAAGGATCAAGACACCAAACAGCAGTGATGGTGTTCTTCTCACGTTTGTTGGATAGTTTAAACAATAAAATTCTTGATTTGGTAACTGCAGGTTCAAAACAAGGCTGTGTAACTTTTAAAAGAAGAAATAACACATTCTCTCTCTTACAAATGAAAAGTTAATTCATAAGCAATCAGCAGTTTTGCTTCACCAGCCTTACTTGGACAGGTCTGACCAGCAGCTTATAGTGGCTAATGTTAGCAAGCTTTAGAACTGACATTACTGAGTCTGTTTGCTGAGTTTGATTCTTCTCTACTAGTGCTACTGTTACACTACGTCTTAGCAGGTCACCAAAACGTCTTTGAAGTTATGGCCTTTATCCTGTGGCAACTGTTGTACAGTCTCAGATTGAACTTGGTGTTCAAGGTGTTTGTGTGCACAAATGAATGTTCCCAAAATACTTTCTCTCAAATGAATAGTTGGTGTGCATGGAACATAACGTTAAATGATGTTGGTACATTTCAACATTCACCATAAATAAAGGACAGTTTTCAAGTAACGGTCTCAAATAAGAGCAAGGGGTGTGATCAGCAGAGACAAATAAAGACTGGTTACTAATAAAAATAAACAAATATAATAATGTAATAAAAATAGTAAGACTTTAAGCTGTGAAGTTTCTATCAGCGAAACTCAAACATTTCTGCATATGTTCCACATGTACAGCCTGCCAGGAACAGGAGGGATTCTGACTTTTGAGCCGCTAACAGCTTTTAATGTGAAACATTTGTGCAGAAAGTGACAACTTTCACCAGTGGTAGCTTATAAATGGAAGTGACTGAAAGTCATTAGTTATGTTAAAAAGAGATACTGAGTGCAGCAGAGTGGTGAGTACGACTCATCATTAATTAGTGCTGTGGTCAACGCGTAACCATGGAGGAAATGTTGAGTTTTCATTTGCAACAGCAAATGAAAATAGGGAGGCTTCATACTAACATGATCAAATATATTTTTCTCTGCAGCTGAGGTAATAACAGCAGCTATTTTAGAATGCATGACACCCTAATCCCAACTAATGATAACTGTTCGAACAAAGCAGTAACTTCACTCCAGCGTGACCTAAATGTGGTTGCCTGATGTTATTTTCAGCCAAAGCTGAGCTCAGCAAAGTGTCGACTCAACGTGGAAAACTTCATTGCTGCTTGTCGCAAGCTGGGAGTCCCTGAGGTAAGGACCATGTCTCATTCTCTTTCCTGCCCAGCCAACTTGTGCACATTTTGATACGGCCGAATCTAATGTTGTTTCTTCAGAGCAGCTCACGGTTTAAAAGCACAGTTGGTTGAAACAGAATTTTTCATGTGCTTTAAGCCCAGTTGTGTTGCTATATTATTCCTGTCAGGGCTGGACTGACGTGTGTGTTTGAAGGCTTTTTGTCCTGACGGGAATCACATTTTCAATCAAATGCCAGATTCTGGCTCATATATCAGTCCAACCCTAACTCTGCTTTGTCCTTCTCTTGTCTTATAGTTATAACAATATAACTACTTGTATTTTCCTCGTGTGTGTGTGTGTGTGTGTGTGCGCGCCTGCCTGTGTCCTGTCCAGAGGGACGTGTGTGTGTGCTCTGATGTGCTTCTGTGCAAGCTGCCCGCTGTGCTGCGCTGTGTGACGGCCCTGCTGGCCGTGGAGGGGGGGGAGACGGCGGAGGACCAGTCCCCCCGCCACTCCTCGCCTTCGTCGTCATCATCCTCGTCCTCATCCTCGTCCTCGTCCTCCTCTTCCTCCTCCTCGCTGCTGTCCACAGATTTCCTGCTCTTCTACTGTGCCGCCATGGCCCTGCTCTACGTCCTCTACTGCTACCTGCTCACCTAGAGGGGCCACACACAACACACATTACTTAAATATTCACACGACTGTCCAGCTGCTGAACACACACACACACACACACACACACACACACACACACACACACGCGCGCGGCTACAGTTGTAGAGTTTGAGGCTAGCACACACAGTTGTCATCTCAGACATGACTCAGCAGTGTGTGTGTGTGTGTGTGTGTGTGTGTTTTCAGTACCCTTCAGGGCTGTAGAGCAGCTGTCCCAGGAGTGTCTGTTGACTGTCCACAGCTGCACTGGTTGGATGTTAGAGCAATAGAGAGCATTCAGCCGAGCACCTTTAAGCCACAAACAGAATACACTACAGAGCCACAGCTCTTCATTTAGACACTTAGAGGAATAGAAAGCACTACACTGATGGACAAATACTGTTTGGGAGCAATTAAACAGAGAAATGCCTTAGCTTAGTTTAGCCCTCACTCTGTAACGCACAGCACGTTTGGAGGAGATGTGAGGTTTTGGTCTAAGGCAGAGCTGCCCCACAGGCAGAAACAATCTCATTGGTTGAGACATGAATGGGCGGAGCAAAGGAACCACACCCTCAGTTGAATCCCAGGGACACACTTTCCCTGCACGGCCATAGACAAACAGCTGCAGCGGGAGCTTCGTTAATGGTGTACTTGCGTGCTTTGCGTGTACATGGAAGGTTGGAGCCACTAAGGAGCTGATCAGGCCCCGTCATTCCTGGCTTACACCTGAATACCTTGAGAATTTCTAATTCGGCACATTGTAAAAATCCCTAAACATGGTGACACTTGAGGTGATTACTGTATTGTTAATGTTGGGACCACAGCAGAAAAGGCACACAAGGGAACAAGCCCTGGTGTTCCACCAATGTCGTCGTCGTCTGCTCAGAGTTGCTGCTGACCTAACTTGTATACATTCACTGTATGTTTATTCGTTCATTTCTGAGGATGCACGTGATCAACACTCTACAGGAGGGGATGCAGGGTAGCCTTAATGTGCATAAGAAGGCCTAGTTGAACTTGAAACTTCATTCATAGATTTTTTTTTTTTTTTTGGTGTTACTTTTTGACCACTAGCTCTGGTTTGGGCTTCACCAACTCTTGAGAAAAACATGTCTCTTTAGCTGCTAAATGCTTCACTATGTTCACTATAATGCCCCCTCTCATTTCATACCTAATCCCCAAGTTAGTCAAACAGGTTTTGAAGAGAAAAGAAAGTTATAAACATCCATCACAGTTTACAGATTAACCTCCCTAACATTAGTACATTGTATGCTTTTTAGTGTGTATGGAATTGGGAAACCGTGATAAATCTCAGGAGGTCAACAGACTAGTTAAATAGCTTACCTAAATGCTGAAGTTACTAGTTATTACAAAATGCAGTTAGCTAACATAAATATTCTTTCTCAGCATCACTCAGCCGGAGGGTCTGTGGTTCTTTAGCTCTGCTCACCAAGTTTAAACTTGAGATTATCTGCGTTCACAGCAGCTCCACCTCTGACACATATTCAGACTCGTACTCCAGTCTGCGCGTTTGCCTCTCATCCTGAGAGAGAAGCTGTTGAAGTAACCTGAGACTAAACTGTGAATGTGATTTTTAGCCTTGAGACAGATGCAAGTTATTGAAATGTGGAACCGGGATGTTAAGAGATGTTATTTCTTACACAACAATGTGACAGTGAGACGAATGATAAGTGTGCCTCTTACTGAACTCTGACCACTCGCAGACTGCTCTTCTTTTGTTGTCTGCTATGTTAGCTGTGAGCAGCAGGGGGCGATGTCGCTGCATCAGTCCCCCTCCAGGCCTCATGTGTCCAAACTGACGGTACAAACCCCCCCCTGCATGAGGTCTTTTGTTGGCACTGGTACTTTTCGACCAGCTGACATCATGTTTGTATAAATGTAAACAGGTTATTAACTTATTGCGTTTTTATTTATTTTGGATTCTGTTCTGTTATTTTTGTTTCTGTGTTGAAACAGCAGAGGCTTCACCAATTTAGTTAAGCCTGTAAGCTAATAGTTTTAAACGCCTCATAAGGCTTTGTGAAATCTATGTGTGGGCTTTAAATCACACACTGGTAAATTAGATGTAATCAATATTCAATTATTCAGAGTTAAAATAACATTAATTTAAAAAGTTTTTCCCCTTCATTGGATTGGTAATTGATTTCCTAGAGGCTACACGTTAAACAGAGCATCAACGGCCTCTGCTGTTTCTGCCACACGCTGTGTCTGGCGTTTTGCTCATAGAAGGTTAATGTCTGCAACTAAACACAAATTGGAATCTGATTATAATGCTTGACTGATGTGGGGCTTGAAAGCCAATATCAATAGTGAGATTTTGGGCTTCTGCTGCTAAACTGTGGAAATTCACATTATTTATTGTTTTTAATCTTATCAAGGTCTCTTAAGCAACATTTAAACCGTTATGGGAAAGTAAAACTTTCTACTGAAACTCAAATGAACTAAAAGCAGGGGACCAACATAATTTGGTCATAGGGAAAACTTCACAAACTGTTGTACTGTGGTACAGAGAAAGCAACAAAATAATATTGGAGGTAAACATTTATGATTTTCTCCACATCAGCTATATGGTATAACCCTACTGAGTAGTTACCCAGTACTGATCCTGTTAAAATATGATGCCCCAAGTCTTCAATATTAAAAAAATAATTTATGAAATCAGTTATCATATGCATAAATTGTGTAAAATATAAATGAACCCATAATTTAACTCTTTTTATTTAGTTTAACATAGCTACATGCTACCTATCTAGCAAGCTGACTAGCTAGGCTGGGTTGCGAGCTTGAATTGTTTCTCAGCATCAAAATGAAGAGGCAGTGTTAGCCATGTTAGCTAGTTTGTTTTGGTTTAAGCGACCAGTCTCTTTGCTCTTTACAGTTGTGTCGCTTTCTCTAAAACACACAATTAGCTACTGTCAACATTAGCTCTTCACGTTGATGCCCATTAATTATTTAAGCTGATAATCAACCTAGTTAATTAGCTGGCTAGTAATTACTGAGGTTAGTAATTGTCCTGTAACTGTTTATTTACAGCAGCAGCCTCTACTTGGTTGATTAAAAAATTACTTTTGCATCGTTGTTGCTCTAGCTAACAGAAGCTAACTGCCTAGCATTCTTGCTTAAGAAGCAGGAAGGCATGTGAGTGACTGAAAGGTGAGCAGGCAGTGACAACACCACATGTATTAAAATGTGTCCTGAAATTAAAGAATCACTTGGAAAAAATGCCAAATAATTCAACACGGACTTTGGAAATACATTTCTCCAATGTAAAAACAAAGAACTCCACTAAAACTGAATAATGAAATAACATTTCATAGTAATAACTTTAGTTTTAATAATTAGTATTTCATAAGTAATTGGTTCATGTATATATTTTCGCAATATATTCAAGATTAATTTCATAATGTCTTCTTAATTTATTTAATGTTACTTAACACTTTGGCTTAATTTGAGGACCCGGTCTATTAAAACTGCAGTATAGTTTTATAACTTGATTTACGTATTTATTTAACAAGGTGTACAACACACTGGTTATTTTCGTCCACCGTCCATTTCATGTTCACATCTCTGCTGTTGTCTAGAGTTCAGAATATCCACTGTAAAAACCTCCCTTTCATGTCTGATAATTTTTTTTTTTTATTAGACTGCTGTTAAGATGAAATTTATACTGTTTCAATTCAAATGTATATTTTATAAATGAAACTGGATAAGCAACAGAGTAATTACTTCACTGGCTTAGACCAAGCTATATTCCTAAATACGTTAGTGGAACAGAAATACCATTGTATTTTATATTTATATGATACCCTTGTACTATTAAGAACAATTTGAGTTTATATAAAGCTATATGTAAAGTTTTTTTTTCTCCTCCGGCTGTAAAGAAATTATTAAAAATGAACTTTGATCATTTTCTGTTTGTCTGCTTGCTGCCGTCATGTCTTTGCTTAAACTGCCAAGAACTATGAATGTCATCAGGGTATCTGCAGCTGCTTAACTGTCTTATTTTCACAATAACGATTAACTCGAATGTTTCCAACCACTCAAAGCTCTTTACACTATATGTCACATTCACGCATTGATGGCAGAGGCTACAAGAAACAGTTTGCTCAGTTGTCATTACGTGACCAAAGTATGAAATTATTATCAAACTATTAACTATATCAAGTCTGTCAAGACAGGTTAGATTTAATTTCCAATGAATTTACAGGTGAAGTTCTATATCTTCCTTCCTGTCAACAAATCCCATGTGCAGAGCCAAACCTACAATGAAGAATTCTCTGTGCGTTGTCCTGCTGCCCAAAATACTCACTAGAGCACTAAATGTGGATTGATCCGCTGTCCCCAACAAACCTGTTTGAGTTACGTTTGCTAAAAACTACAGTGTCCAGTTGTTTTAGAAAACTTAACTAATTAATTACACAGCAGGCCTTAATGCTCGGTTCAGATTTATTGCCCACATCACAGTTCACATTGTTTAAATGTGGCCCATGTCAGACTGAATTGTGAAGAGGCTACGGCTTGCAAGTGACCCACATCCGCAGAAGAATGACTTCACACGCAGTACGCTGCTGTACGGAAGTAAACAAGGAGCCACACAGGTTAGCTCTTGCTAACCCTCCCGATTTTCATTGCCCTCTCCCAGGCTCACATTTCTCCTGAGTTATGACAAATGTTCACAACTTTGTCCTTTAAATTACATTAATCACTATTTCTGGCTCTGACAACGCATGTCTCCTGTTTCCGCTCAGACAATTAACATTAGCACGTGACTAGGGCTGGACAATAAAACAATAATTATGACTATCATTTTTTTTTTTCCCCCAATAACAAATGTTCAATAAATGTTTGACTTCATCCACTTGAATCATAAGCGAATTAGGACTTAATTTTTTTATTAAGATATTTATTTTGTTGAGGAAAAAGGACTGAAAAAAGCTTTTAAAAAATTTTACTCGTGCATTTGTGCATGACAAAGATTTTATCATGATTGTTTTGAATGTTCTACCTCAGATTTGTGAAGTGATCCACTGACCATTAAGAGTTTAAACCACAATTAACAATCAGGTTTCTTCAGCTTTCACTCAGGAGCCTTTAAACTCGAAAGATATAACGATTTGATACTTATTGTGATAATTATCTTTAACTTTTTATCGTGGGACTGGCCATATCATCCAGTCCTACACGTGACTCAGAAGATGGCTCGTGACCGGGTGGATTTCACCTGGAAAGAAGGAAGTTTGGAACTGGAAAAGATCAGATTCCATGTGACTTGGCTATTCACACTGTTATAAAGACAATCAGATCCGAGTCAGCTCCTCTGTGGGACATTTTGTTTCTGTGGGGAAGTTAACCCAACAGACTGTACATTTGCCAGACCAACCACTGAGTCCTTACCCATCTAAAACTGGAAAAAAAATACAGTTAGAAAACCCTTTTGGTTAAACATGAATGTCACCTAATGTAGATTCTCCAAGTACGTTTTCTAGTGTGGCATCTTTGTCGCCTCATTCAGGAGTATTAAGCTGGGTGGGCTCATTATTTCCCCAGGTACACAACACTGTTAACACTCCCTTTAAAATGTCTGCACTTGAAATATACTTTTAATACCAAACCGATAAGGTACTCACAGCCTCACAGCTGTACACTTGAGCACAAATAGGCTCCTCATCAGGTGCTGAGGAGTCAAAAAGAGTGTCCTTTTGGGGAAAGAAATCTCAGCACCTGGACAAGAATGTCTGTGTTTTGCACACTGATTCATTACAGTCAGCTTCATGGGATTTGTTGGCAATAAGAAAAATACAGAACAGCAGACTTATCCTTTAAATACAAACTATTCAGCAGTAATTGGTGGAGTTGGGAAGGAAGACAGAAAATCAATCACATCCACTCTCAGATCAGTACAAGACAAGGTTAACAAAATATGACTAACCGCTGATTTTGCCAGCTTGGTTCCTTCATGTTGATTTCAAGTCGGTTTCACAACACACTCAAACTGACGCAATGTGCTAAAACTGTGGGCAGGCGTGCAGATATCCTGATGTAAAATCCACTGTGCTTTAACCTCTTCAAAAGCTCCTGTGTGCTCTCCAAACAGCAGGTTTACTGTTATAAATTCCAGCTGGCCCGTGTCGGAGCAGGTGAGTGTGTTGAGCCAAGGTCAGAGGAAAAACCAGAAATCAGCCTTCAGGCTTGTACTGCACCATTCACAAGGAGGACACTCAATAAACAGTGCTGTCGCCTTTCTGATTTCCCGTCTCTGCATCACTGCAGCCTGCCTGCACACATCACTGGAGCTGTGATTTTCTATTTGCCAAGCTCTGGATCATCTACATTTCACGTATATAGTCGGACTTTACAGTTCACCAGTTAATCAAGTAATCACTACAGAGTCAGGAGCACTGATTATGTAGATTTAATCATTTCTCAGACACCTACCAGGAAATGACAAATTTTGTTGGTGAGTGAGTTCCTCCAGGGGTTTAGGGGTCACTGAGGACGATCCAGGGGGGCAACCTGGCTATAAAATGAAAAAGCTTCCACTATATGCCCTGTTGCATTCATGTTCCCATCAAGGCGCACACGCCAGCTTCCTTACATTCCCAGCCACTTTTATCTTGAAATAACAATGCTAGGCCCATGTTTTGTGTGTCAGTTCTTTTGTGGCAACACAAGTCTTAAAACTGGTTGACAAAACATTCTCAACCACTTCATGCTTTTTTTTCAGAGCTTTTTGAGCAGGTCTCGCAGCTCTTAACTGCAGATGGGGTCAGTCACTCTGTTCTCATGCTCATGTCTTAAAACTAGATTTTGACACAGGGCCACATGATCAGAAGAAAGCTGTTAAAACTACCGACACTGAACTATACGACACGCTGTGAACCTGGGTATTTGGGGCGCTGGGACGGTTGCCTACTTCTCCTTTCTGCAGCCCGAGATACTAATGTTAATTATGATGGACATGGACGAAAGAAGCACTACAATTATCTAGTGTTGCAAGTATGGGTTGTCACAGTATATACTTGAATGTGAAAGAGGAAGGTAAAAAATAGTGACAGTGTTTGACAAGATAACTGGACCCATGCTGTCACAGAATACTCTCACCATCATGAATTGTTTGCAGCTTTAGGATTAAAGCCACTATGTGTAGAATACCGATATGTCTGATTATGTTGTCTCCCAGTGGTACATTCAAATGCACACTGTGGCAGACAGCCATGCATGCTGCTACCCCACAATTAAATGTTACTCTGTTAGACTTGACAGGAATGCCGTGTGAGTGTTATCAGCCCATATTCACCTCACATTCTCTTATTTTACAAGCATTAAAGAGCCGTTTCTTGTGTTGTGTTAACAAGTTGAGCTTATATTTGGTGGATAATGTAGTTCTGTCTTTAAAGTTGAGTATTTTAGTCTTCTTATCCACAATTATAGCTTTTTCCAAAAATGGCTTAAAGTTTATCTGGAGCTGTTGTCAGACCTCAAGCCCAAATCTGCATCAAGACTTTTCAAAAGGAGACACAAAGTTATTTTCAGATGGAAATTAATACTTCAGTGTGAGTACCAATAGACAACAAGCTATACAATATATTAAGATCTGTGCACTTTAGAAAAAAAGAGATTTAAAATATTTGATCTGTAAATAATATAATATCCATCCATCGTCCACCGCTTATCCTGCGTACAGGGTCACGGGGGGGCTGGAGCCTATCCCAGCTGACATCGGGCGAAAGGTGGGATACACCCTGTACAGGTCGCCAGTCCATCACAGGGCATAATATAATATATACTATTATATTTTCATCATATATTATATAAAGAATATATTTTTATTTTACTATATTCCTATAGTCTTATCTTAAAAAAGTATACCGCCTGTGGATATTCCAAGCAAAGCTACCTATTGGAAAAATTGGAATTTGGAAATATATACACTCTGAGAGGTAAACTGTTTATGAAGGAATCCTGAAACCACTCGATCTGACTCTCATCCATTAAGAATTGGGTCATGTCTGAATAGGAATGTAATGGGATACCTAATAAGGTAGAACTAGACCATATAAAGAGTGAAACATAGGCTCTGTTTTTATTGTTTTTACTTTTATTTTTGTTATTTTTGTCTTTTTAAATATAATTTGGGTGTATGTAATTACCCCCCCCGCAAATTCGGATTTTTATATGCTAATCACAAATATATGATGTATGTGTTGGAAGAATTGATAATTAAAAGATCCTTCCAAAAATAAAATCAAAAAGTCCAATCCAATATAAATTTGTCTGACACACAATCAACAAAAGAAATATAGTTAAATGTTTCCAATTGTTGTCAGACTAATAGAACCAGGACTGGGGGTACACCTATTTGTAAATCTCTTATAACATGTTTTGTGTTGCCTACTCTTTTAGTAACTACCAGCTGGTTTCAGACGAGTCATTTACTGAATGAGGTCGCAGCCTTTAAACTTAAGAAACGTGAAAGCTTTTGGAAGAATGGGGCTACAGATGTTTTCTAGAAACAGATCCTTTACAATCGATAAATCGACCAGGCAGATATATCAGCCGATATTAGCTTATTGCACATATATCTTGCATTGTCGGCTGATAGGTAACAAGATATTGCAATACAAGCAGAAGTTTGGAAGAAATGGTGATCTAGGTTAGAGGTTATTTAGAGACTGTGTGTTCATTACAGAGTTTATCCCCTAAGAACAGCAACAACATTGGTTTTTACACTGTAGAACGTCAACAAATCCAAGCGATCTGTATCAAGATTGTTAACTATTGGCCAATTTATTGTTTTGGGACTTTATAAACTCCTAAATATCGATATCAGTATTGGCTTCAAAAATCCAGTATAGCTATAAGAACCAGCTGTAATGTATTTGTATTTATGTTGCAGGAACCAAGTGGTA